TCTAACTTGCAATCCTAGAGTTAGATAGCTTTGGAGTTGAAGTTCAATCATAAGTTGTACTTAGTTGATAAATCCTCAAAACTTAGAACTTGTACTATGAAACTTCTCAAGTAGTACAACCCTTGGTTTTCTAACACTGAAAGTTTATTTTACTATATGAGAATGAACATGATTTGGTGTAAATGTTGAATCAGCTCCAATCATCTCTATATCTTTGTTCCTTGTCATTTTTATTGCTCTATATGGCAGTAAATTGAGTTGATGTATTGCAAGCATTAACTTCCTCAATTGTTCTTGAATTTGTGTCATTACACTCTTTATTTCAAGAAGCTCTGCTATGATAATACTTATAGAAGGATAGATGTCTAATATTCTTCAAGAAAAATAAAAGAAAAGACTTAAAAATAAAGGAAAAATATTAAAAATAATATCAGTTTAGAAGAGAATAATCTGCAACTCCAAATATACTTAAGCTATATCAAGAAAAAAGAATAATATATTCTTAATTAAAAAAGATAAAGCTCTAATATTATAAGTATATCCTTGTCAATTTGTCAAGGATAAGAACTTGATGAAAGCAAATAAACAAGTGACACTCTTTCAAAGAAATTTGACAAAATAAAATATAAAAAATATGTATATTAAAAAGAAACTATAATAGCTATTGCCAAAAGACAAGAAAGCTAAACACTTTTGAAACTAGACTAAAAGCAAAAAAAGAGTTGATAAGAATAAAGAAGGCTGCATTCTTACCTCTATATATACTATCTACCTAGGATCTATGTGGCGACATTCTATAGGACCTCCAAAAACGTCTTGACTTTGCATGATATGTATCTTAACTTACAAGCAAAGTTTTCTATATAAGTACTATATAGTTAGCTTGTTCTCCAAGCTACCAATACATGTAGACATAGTTAACTTATTGACCATGTTTCTAATTTATCAATCAAGTACAAATACATGTGAAATCAAAATAGCATCTAAGAAGCTTTTAAGAAGCTTTTCTAGAAGGTATTATGAAATTAATCTATTTTTATTTACTCCTACCTATTCATATAACCTAAATAAAAATTACAATAGATATATATCCATGATAGCCTTTTGGATTGATAAATGTTCCAACTATATTTCAACACTTGATGAATGAAATTTTTTCAAGAATTCTTAGACAAGTTTATTGTCTGCTATCTTAATGATATTTTAATATATTCTGAGATTCATTAAAAATATAAATAACATATGAAATTAGTCTTTCAAAAGTTACAAGATGTAAGATTAAATATCAAATTATAGAAATGTGTATTCTATCATCCAAAAGTGAAATTTTTCAAATAAAGTGTATTTAATAAAAATATGTTAATGAAACCAAAAAAAAAATTCAAACTGTAATGGAATGGGCAACTCCAAAGACAATATAGGATGTATAATATTTCTTTAGATTTGCTAATTTTTATTTAATATTTATTAAGAATTATTTCCAAGTTATTACTTATTTCACTTGATTGACATCCAAGGATAAATTGGAATGAGAACCTCAAGCACAAAAGGCTTTTCAAGATATAAAGATAACTTTCACTATAACTTTAATTTTACTACATCCAAATTTCACAACAGCCTTTTATTTAGAGACTAATACTTTTGACTTTGTATTAAAAGTTATATTATCATAGATGGAAAAGGATGGAAAGTTCCACCTAATTGTATTCTATTTTAGAAAGTTTTTAATTATAGAGATAAATTATGAATTTAATAATAAAAATATTCTTGTAATTATAGACTCTTTCTAAGAATGGTATTACTTGTTGAAAGGCTCTATATATCTTATGATTATATAAACAAATTACAAAATTTTGAAATATTTCATATCAACTTAGATTTTCAATCGCTGCCAAGCTCATTAAAATGTATTATTATCTCATTTTGATTTTGTGATTACATGTTGATTATAAAAGTAGTAAGAACTATCAGATACTTTATCAAGGAAATCATATCTTGCTCCAAAGGTTGAAAAAGTAGTATTTAATTAGCAATATACTACTCTTTTGAAGCCAAAATAATTTTTTCTATCTATTATTTTTATAACTACACCTATTGATTTAAAGTTTTTTGAACAAATTCATAGAACATCAATTAAGAATTTATTAATTTGTAATATCAAGTGATAACCTAATAATAACAAGTTCAAATTCATAAGATATCTTTTGTATTTTGAAGTTCATTTATAAATTCTAGAAAGACCAATATGACTTCGTGTTCTTCAATCTCATCATGATTTTTTACTCGCATGACATTTTTTATTTAAAAAAATATTAGAGCTTATTTCTTAATATTTTTGGTGGCTTCACATGTGGAAGACCATGAAAAACTTTGTTTTCGTATGTAACATTTGTTTAAGATCCAAAAATTTCTAACATAGTTCTTATAAACTTCTACAACCATTATCAATTCCAAAGTAACTATGGTCTTTAGCATCAATAGATTTCATTACTAATCTACCACCATCAACTATATTTGTTGCTATTTATCTTGTTATAAATCAACTTACAAAAATAACACATTTTATTCCTTAAAAAAAGGTCATTTTTGAAGAAGAAATAATAAGGTTCTTTCTTAATAATATACATTAATATCATGGTCTACTTAATGACATCATTTTTTATTGAGGACCTCAATTTATATCAAAGTTTTGAAAATCTTTTTGTGAAATATTAAAGATGGATATCAAACTTTTGCCTATCTTCTACCCTTAAACAAATAGTCAAATAGAATGAATCAATCAAGTTTTGGAGTTGTATTTACAATGTACCATCAACTATCAATAAGATGATTGGACCTCTTATTTAACTTTTATGGAATTTACTTATAATAATATTCTTCAAGCTTCAATTCAATAAATACCATTTTATTCCAATTATAGATACTATTTGAAGCTTAATTTATTAAATATATCAAAGGATAAAAATCCACTAGCTAAAGATCTTGCAAAACAATTGTCACAACTTTAGACAACTTTGAAGCTTCATTTACAAGCAGCTCAAGATTCTTACAAAGCATCTTCAAATAAATTTAGAAAAGAATTTCTTGCTTTTTAAGTTGAAGATAAAGTATGGTTTCTTCAAAAAAATATTAAGATCAATCAACTTTGCGATAAGTTGGACTATCAAAGATTGAAGCCATTTTGTATTCAAAAGCAAATCAATCCAGTGGCTTATTGGTTGGAACTATTAACATCTATAAAGGTACATCCAATCTTTCATGTTTCTCTCTTAGAGGCTTATTTGGAATCAACTATTTCAAGAAGAATACAACCATTAGTGCTTTGGATTGAAATAGATAATCATGTGGAATAAGAAGTAAAAAAGTTCTTTGATTCTTACCAAAGGAGAAGCAAGTTGAAATATTTTATTCATTGGCACACTTATGATATCAATGAGCATATGTCGGAACTATCAAAAAATCTAGATAATGTATTGCAAAAGATACAAGAATTTCATCAATGCTATCTTCAAAAATCTAAACCTATTTTAGAATAACTTTTCTATAAAGCTATTATTAAGCTGTTCTATATAACAAAAAAAAAACAATTATGAAATGAATGTATCTCATAGAATTTTGAGTTACAAGAAGAGGTGATATTATGAATATTCAACAAGAAGTTTTTAAGAATATGTTTAAAATATTTTATTAAATTCTAGAAGGTTCTATAAGATTCTAAAAAGATTTTTAGAATATTTTAGAAGGTTCTAGATGATTCTTAGAATATTTTAATAAATTCTAAAAATTTCTATGAGGATTAAAGAAGTTGTTTGAGAAGCTTCTTATGGTTGCTTCATCTTTAAGTAATATGGAAACTTCTCAAGAAGTTCCTTAATACCTAATTTATATTAGAATCGAAGTTTGGAGGATCCTGTCTTGACAATATATCTTTTGAAGTTCTAGCTCATCTTTTTAGTGTTGATCTTGTATTCATTTGATTTAATCAAGTTCTTACTAGCTTTCTTATTAAAATTCTTCCATTCAACTTCTTCTTTAGTATCTAACTAAAGAGGATGTTTTGTGTTAGATAATAGGAAGAATTTGTAACAATCTAGCATTCAAAGTATGACCAAACATGTAATAATACTGCAAACAACTTCTTGTATCTCTAGAACTTCAAACCCTTACAAATTGACCTTTCTTGGCATGTCAAAGTCTTTTGTTTTGAAGTCCACTTAATTTATAAAATCTTATATAATTTATAAATTTTCCATTTGCAAAGATTATTAATTAAGAGATGTAATCTATATGTGTATATATATATATATATAATAAAAATAAAAACACAAAAAACAAAAAACACAAAAATATATAATGTCAAAAAAAATTAGAACATAAACATGATTTGGTAGTATCTACAGTTATTTCATTCAATATCTTAAGAAGTTGTGATACCTTTTAACAACAAAGATTAAAATTTGGCAGGGATGCATGTTTATTTTTTTGATATTTATGGTTCATTGAAAAAAAAAAAAAAAAAAAAAAAAAAAAAAAAAACTTAAAATCATAAAAATACAATTCTGCACATGATAAAAATGTAATACGAAATTAATATATTAATACATTAATATCTTGCATTGTAGGTATCTCATCTCCATATACTATAATAGCATTCACAACAACACCATTCATGCCATTGTCACCACAAAATACCATTTAAATTTCCAAGCTCATATACATAGGATTTCAACCACTTCATAAAAAACAAAAAAAACAAACTCTCCCAAAAAAACAGAACCCTAAAAGACGACCCATATTTCCACCGTGGACAGGAGCCATGGCGACGCACAGGAATTGCATCCAGTGGACGGCGTCATCGCCGCCGCTGCACCACCACCAGGTGGGTGTTTGAATTGTTGATGTGGGTGGTGGTGGAGTTTTGTCTGGGCATGGAATGTTGACAACACCGTCCTCGTCTCGCATCGCAATAATTGGCTTGACTGGTGCAACGAGCCTGTGCATGTGGATGAAGTAGGAGAAGCAAAAGGGGATTGAAAAGGGGATCGCCGCAAACCCATGAGAGAGTTGTGCAAGCATCGGGGGACGGGGGACGGGCGGGTACTCGTGGCGACATCAGGAGTTAGAGCAGTGGTGTTGGGATTTCCCACCAACAATTCTTTCTTTCCACGACGCCAAAAGTCAAGGAGCGCGTGAATCAAGCCAGCCTGTGTCCCCAATTTGGGACCCACCAGTTTGTTTCCACTGGGTCCTCCCCAACTGAGCTGGGTCTCTCTGTGTGTGTATGAGTGGCCATGGTGTGCGCATCAGCACAGCACCTGGTACCGCTTGAGACCCGTCCACGGTCGCGATTTTTCTAATCTGTTGCTCAGATTTGTGGTTGGGTTGTTTAGGGTATTAGTGCCGTTGTTCTAGAAATTTGTTTTTTCGGGTTTCTTCTTTTAATTTTTAAATTTTTGGATATTTGGGGACTTTGTTTTTGAGGTGTAGTGCAGTGGGATGGCGTCTGATGGAGTACCGAAGGTGTTTAGTCTTAAGGAGGTGGAGCAGCACGTTGCCCAGGACGACTGCTGGATGATTATCCACGGCAAGGTGAGGTTTTGTTTCCTTTTTGTAGCTGCTTGGATTGATGGAGGTGGGGGCTTTTGATTGATTCAGAAGTTCGATGTCGTAGGGTTTGCAGAGTTAGATGTTTCGGAGGTGACTTTGGATGGGTTGCGTGGGAGTTTAGTAGCGTCTGCCTGTAACTTCTAGGTTTGCGGAAGGGTATCGATCTACTAATGGTACTGGTCATTTCCGAGGCAGGTCTATGATGTGACGACGTTTATGGATGATCACCCCGGAGGCGATGACGTGCTTTTGCAGACTGCGGGTAAGGTTTCGCTACACCGATTGCTTTGTGGGTGTTTTCTTTTTTTTTTCTTTGTAGTCGTACGTCCCGGATCTCTTGAGCGTATCTCGACGAATAGTCTAAGTACTTGGACTCGCTGGAAATACAAACCAACCCTGCCTGCAGTCAAGGAATGCGTTTAGGTAATGGACATTCAGTTGGCAGAGCTATGGTTGAATTTTGATTTCTTCTCACGCTTGGCTTCTTAACTTTTTCATGTGCTGCTATCAGGAAAAGACGCAAGTGAAGAATTCGATGATGTAGGTCACAGTAAAAGTGCCATAGAGCAACTTAAGGATTTTTACGTCGGGGAATGCTCAGAAGTTCTCGAAAAAAAGCTGGAGTCTGTCACCGACGCAAAGCCTGCTGCAAAGGATCCTCCCACTTCGACAAATGGTGCAGGCTTCTACAGTAAAATTCTACAGTTTTTGGTGCCTCTCATGCTTTTGGGAGTAGCAGTGGCACTCAGGAAGTACAGTAAGAAGACTGCTGACGCTAAGTACTGATTCATGCTCACTTCTCATTAATAATAATATTATCAATTTTCTTCTTTTCTTCTTGTAGCACAGTGAAAGTGGTGCATGAAGAGCATTCAAGATAGAGCATCTTAGATATATTCTATGCGAATTTGGATCAGCTGACTCAAGGCTGCTCTCGTCATATTCATGGCTTCAGTAGATGCCATAGACTGTCCTCATTTTACAGCCATCGGTGTAGCGGCGCGTTTATTTTCATATCGTGCAGTTACTGATGTTTATCTTGATTAACTAATGAGATTAACTCATTTGACCGCTAATTGTGTACCGACTTTGGTGTGGACCTGAATGTATGGGGATATTGGGAATAGAGACACACTCGCTTAAAGTGCGTATTCGTTTTTATTCAGATTTAGAAAACTGTATGATTTTACAGTTTATTGTTTCAGGAGTATCACGAAGCCATCCAATCATTGTAATTGCACTTTGTGTGAAATTTCCTCCTGTAATTTGAGTAACAACACCTTGATTCGCTGATATTACCCGATTCATCAGATAGCATTTTCCATCTAAAATGCAAAATAACTAACGAATTTGCATTGTACTTCCAAAATAAATCTAGGAATGCATGATCCCAATCATATACTTGGCATGTCCCGGCCCTTCTACGTCCATCACCCGGAATTCTAAATCCAAGGTTAGCTTCATTACGCATTGATCCAGAACATTATTCAAATACAACACCCATATAAAATTGATGCTGTTACATGAGTAGTAAAATGAAGGATATGACGCACTAAAAAGTCTGCATTTCGTACTGGAACTGGTAACAAAGGTACTTTATCATATATATATTTATATATATATATATATATATATACACACACACACACACACACACACATATATATATATATATATATATATGTATATACATTTTTTTTTCTCTTGAAATTATTTTTCTCATTTTATTATAACATTACATTCAACAATTCATATCTTGATTCCAAATTAAAATGAAAAATATAAATCATAAACAATTAAATTTTCAGTGGATATTTTTTTAAAAAAGAAAATCTTAAATTTTGGTAGAAGTAATTTATTTCTAGTGGATCTATCATAATTTCTGGGGAGCAACATTATTTATGTCCATCTAGAAAGAAAAGAAAAAATTGTATACACCTCATCTTTTCCTCTTGTGGCTTTTTAATTGACTTTTGAAGCATAACTGAGTCTTCTTGGTTTCAACCAAATGTAAGATTTGAAAGTCATGGTCACTCTCCTTCTTCCCTAACTATAGAAACCTCTTGAAGTTTTCATTCTATTTTTTTCAAACAAAACATTTCTCTGTATATATATATATATATATATAAAGTATTAAATACTTTAAATTTTAAAATAATAATAATAATAATAATAAGTATGTATATAAATCACTTAAACAATGAATAGATTTTCACATCCAACATGTAATACATTACATGAGTCTTTTTTAAAATTTTAGTTTTAACAAATATATGAACATATAAAGCATCAAATGTTCCTAAATAACATCTAAAACACATGTAAAAAAGGTAATGAAATATATTTGGTACAATATATCTAACAAATAAGATTGTACAAGAATCACACCTAAATAACAACCAAATCTGAATTATGATACACAAGTTCAAAGTTTCTCATAAAAATGTGTTTCTAAGTCTAAAACTTTATATATATAACTTAGAAGTCATTGAATGATTTGTCAAACTTGCAATTCAACCTATTACACTTGTAACCATGTAACAGGTAAAAAATGTTAATACTCATAAGTATAGATTCCTGAAGTTAAATAGTAAGCTGTGGCATAGTCTCATATATGGACATGACTTGTATCTAGAAACATTTGACTGTTGTACAGAAGTACTTTTGACTACAGAAGTACCGTTTACATGACCCAGCTTGTGAACTTCACGGCAACAGAGGAAATAGCTTTGCTAGCTTGTAAAAGACTACAACTCTTGCAGTTGGTCACTGGTGAATAGATTTAAGTGACCAACTTTCTCATTGCTTTTAGATTCACACCAGATTCTAGTTATGGATAACACAAATTTTGCGTCTTTGTTAGCAACTTGACTGGTGTTGCCATCGAGGCTCTGCAAGGAAATCAGTGCTCTAATCTTGCGTAGACGTTAAGGTCCAAGGATTCACAAAAATCTAATTCACAACCCACATGATAATCTGTGAGGAGATGAAACAACAGCCTAGGCAGTTATGCGAGTGAAGAAGTTGAGTGAGGACCTTCCTTTCTCCGTCAACCCAGACGATCTCCAAAAGCGATCAAATTGTTCAGTTGCTTTTCACGGAACCATGAGCTGCTACGAATCCCAAAGTGTCCATTTCGATATTGCCCTATCAAAAGAATCTATTTGGAAGTAGGAATGTAGGAAAGGAGATGTAAGAGGTACCCTAGAGGTAAGTGGACGATGCTGGTGAAGTTGGATGGAGAGTTAGATCTCTGCTACCATCATTCACCAGCCTTTGGACACAGTACAAGTAAACCATGTCTTGATCTCCTGAGTTCTTCCGGTGATGTACTCCATTGTCTTGGGGACTAGGACAACTGGAATCTGATTGTATGTACTCGGCAGAAGCAAAGACCCTCCCGACAGTCAAGTTCCATGTCCCCTGCCAGTACTACGTCTGTTACGAAGACCTCAACGGAAGGTAGGTCATGGGAATATCTACCTACACAAGAGTTGAATCTGTGGACTTGAGTTGGCAAATCCTTGGCGAGATTCAAATTACAAGTTCACAAATATTCGATACGAATCTGTTAGAAAACATCTGCTCGAATGCGTAAATGACAGCAAAATATTACCAAGAATAGAGGTCCAGCATCAGATGTGAAAAAATAATAACCGTTGTATCATCCTGAAACTTTACAAAAGAGTCTCCGTGATATGTTTCATGTATTTGTAAGTTCCACACCAGAGTTCGACTAAAGGAACAGCTCCGACCGAAGAGGCCGTATATTAGGAACTTGGAGCAGTACACTAAACTATCCACAACAACGCTTATCTATGAAAATTTGGTCAAGGTCAATTTTGACTACAAAATTGGACTACATGACATTTCTATGACTGTGCAAGTAGATGTGATTTTGGGATTTAAATATGTAGAAAAGAGGAACCTAAGGGCCATCGTCAGCTGGAGATTCATCCTCATCATGGTAAATATTTTCGGCCATTTCCCAAATTTGTAAAATATTGTCTTCAGCCACACTGGCTATTAAGAAGTCTTCTGATCGGTTCCATGAGAAATCGGATATCTTGCTTGTATGACCACCGTGAATGAAAAGCAGCTCTGGTGGACCATCCTCAGCATCCTCAGGCGTTTGCTCCTCCCCGATTCTGCAATCCTCAGATTCATAAACTATTACTTCATATCTCATGCAAGTAAGGTCACAGTTCATACGTACAGTGTAGTCGACTAGAACAAATACAAAACAAACAACCTTGAAAATCATCTTCCTGCAGAATGCTACGTAAGAAACTTGGACTCTAAATTTGAGTGGAGTCATCCTAATCTCAGGAAATTCGACTTTGAGTGTTTACCACCAACACAAACACCATGCATAGGGAATCAAATCAACAATTTCCATCGGCAACCAGTAAGAACAGAGGAATTAGCACAAAGTTATTACCTGCTAAGATCCCACACCATCAGCCTACGGTCAGCTCCACAAGAAGCAAGAATGGTCTCATTGTTAGGTGACCATCCTATCTGAAACACTTCCTCCCTGCCAAGGTGATGAGAATGTTGAATGTTAATGCGACTCCTGGCTATGTAGAAGAACAGAAACGCAAACAGGAGCATCCCCATAAACCCTACTCAAATCTAGAACACGTCTAGAAACGGTTTTCGAATTGCGGAAGCGATAGTGTAGGATTCATGTTCTGGTACAACCACAGCATAAAAAGGGCAAAAGAAGGAAATTTCGTACGTATGATTAACAAAGGTGTGAAGGCTCCTCGACATTTTCCGTAAATCATACAAGGCCACAGTCCTATCTGCAGAACCTGTTGCTAGCACCCATTCGTTCTTCGGATTGAATGCGAGGCAATTTACCTGCAAACCCGAATGTTTCGAACACTTAATATTGAGAGCAAAAGTTATTTCGTAGAATTAAAGAGTTCAAACAAAAGTGTTTTAGGAGAACGAGGGAGAGAGAATAACAAAAGCCCCATCCCTAATGGGAAAGCTGCAGATCAAATAACTACAATTAAGTTAACCCTACCTCTGCTTGGTGGGCTTCAACAGCATGAAGAGGTTTGTCAGTAGGTGCAGCTCGAGTGTCCCAAATAAGAAGCTGCCGATCGTCACCGACTGAGCCAAATAGATGCTCATGTTGGACATGCCACGCGACGTCCTCCACGACACCGACATGCCCCTGTAAATGTAAACTAACAGTTGATCAAGCTTCAAATGAAACGAACCACAGATGTAGAAAAATATCAATGTAGGCACAAATGCAGCGGAGCATTAAAAGCTGAATATACCTGGAAGATCTGTAAAGCTTCAATGACGCGATTTTGCTTAGGCGTTCCCCGAATGTCCCAAAGACAAATTTGGGCATCGTCAGATCCACTGAGTAGATGTCCATCCTTAATGGGGCTCCAAGAAAGGCCATAACCCTCTGTCTTGTGACCTCGTAACCTTATATCAGGATTGCACTGTCCATCCTGAGGAGGTTTCGAGGGATGTTTGCTGTAATCGAAGACATAAACTTCAGCGCTAACAGTCTTCGTAGCTATATAAAACTGGTTCTGGGGCATGTAACGAGCTCTGTTCACTTCTCCCTCGTGGTTGATTTGTTGCACCACTTGTACCTGAAAAACCCACACGTCTAACGAGTGTCATCATGGTAGTCAACATTTGCTCGGTGGATAAATCGACTTACCGAATACTTCAAGCACTTCACGGTGGACACGAACACCTAGAAAGTTCGAGTAAGGGTTTTCCAAGAAGCTCAAAAATAATATCATGCTACTTATCTACTTATGAAACAAACAAACAAAATCTCCACCGCATATTTACGCACCCGCAGATGCTTCTACAAACTCAGTACAAACCTGGAGATGAATCCGGTGCTTCAAGGAGGAAGAAGAAAAAAAAAAAAAAAAAAAAAAAAAAAAAATCATATCTGAGGAATCAACTCGTTTCATCTAGAAAAAACCTCGCTAACTCAGACAAATCGTGAAAAAACCCTAAATCTTTCACAGGTATATTTAAGTGAGTTATGTTCTGCCAAGTTCAGCATTGGCTCGCCTACAGAGCTTTAAGTTCTACGCATACGGCATTGTCATCCGGGAAATCCTACCGACGCTGTCTGGAACAAATACGATCAACGACCTAGGTGAAACTAAAAACCCTCGTCTCAGCCAAAATCTTAGAAGCCTATGATCACGATATCGACTTGGAACAATCCCACCACATAAACCCCGACCACCTCACACCCAAAACACCAAACAATCAAACGCCACATTACAAAACTCAAACTTCTAAAAAAGGAAAAGAAAACAGAAAAAACGTCAAACCCCAACACCCTAAAGAATCCCAAAAACACAAAAATAAAACAACAAAAAGTATAGATAAATTTAAAAAAAAAGCATAACCACCTTGCCACTGGAACATCCGAAGCCACCCATCTCCCCGCGCTCGTCGTCATACTGGCGCGCATTATTCTCCGAGTCCTCGAGCGGCAGTTGCACTTGAGCTATCATCAGGTAATTGGGCTCATTGTCGCTGGTGTGCGTGCCCACAATGAGACGCTGCAGGGAGAAATCCTTGCCGCCGACCTCTTCCCGGTTAGGAAGCCACTGCACAGTGAGCGAGGGCCACTCGAGGGCGTGCGTGATGACGAGGTCATACAGAAACGGCGTGTTCTTCTTCCAAATCTTGTACTCCTCATTCACGAGGCGCTCCTCCATCTCGTCCCGGTACTCATCCTCCTCTTTCGCCATGGATCCCCCCCCCCCCCACTCTCCTCCTCTTCCTCGCTCCCGCCCTACTCCCACAAAACCAACCACACCCACTTCCTCCCTTCCTTAGCTTTGAAGGTATCGCCCTATCGCCCTCACTCTCTGCTAAACCAAACTAATAAACCATCCTAGAATTGGGCGTCGCTGCGATGCGAAGCGATGGGAGTGAGCGACAGAGCGAGGGAGCGAGCTCTGGGCAAATACCAGTTGACGAGAGCGGCATGGCGGCTTCCCAACCCCCACCTGGGGGCCGAACTCAGGTGCCGCTCATTATACGGACCTCGCCCAAGTGTCAATAGGTGTCCCCCTTTCTTCCCGCCACTACAATACGCAACGAACATGACCGTTTCCCGCGTCTTGCGGTATCCGGTTACGTTCGAGTTGTTGGGGTCGTGAGTGAGTGAGTGGGTTCCCGTCGTGTGTGAGTTCCCGTTGGTTCTCGTCGACGTTCCCGGGCTGCATTCAAATTGGGACATCTTGTTCCTTTTTCTGATTATTATTATTATTATTATTTATATATTTCTATTGGATGGTTTTGTTGTGTCAGATGCGAGTAGTTATCGACAAGTTTAGTTGACAGTGCTTCAATTTTACGAACTAGTTCAGAAATTTTATTTATTTAGTAATATGTTATCTCTATGATTGTATCACATAGATAGATAGATACATATATATATATATATATAGAAAGTTTTAATGTATTGACATAAACTATGTAATTATGTTTTCATAATGGAAGATTGTGGTGACAGCAGCAAAAACTATGATGACATTAGCAACACACACACACACACTATATATATATATATATATATATATACATTTGTGTATGTATTTTATTTTATTTTAGAATATTTGTTTCAATTTTTGTACTGATACAAAAGAAGATAAAAATAATAAAAATAATAAAAAAATCATATTCTTAGTATCTGAAGGTTGCATTTGGTGCTTTTTAAAAAAATTGTTTAGGTTGAATTTCTCATGTAGGTTTTTTAAACAAATAATAAAAAATAATAATGAAGTACTAAAAAATGTCCAATAAGTACTTTCACACAAATTTTCACTTTTGAATGGACAATATATTTATTTCAGTACCAATTTACGCCTCTATTCAAACCAATTTGTAATATATTTCATGTATTAAAGTTGTAAGATATTTTTTTAGAATCACAGAGGCTAATTTTATTTATTTTTTGGTTTTGATTTGATACATCAAGTATAAATATAATATTTAAGATAATTATAATAAAGTATTATTATCTGTAAGTTTATCTTTTATATATATATATATATATTACAGTATTCGATAATATCTTATTTTAAGTTGTATAGATTATCCTAAGTTTGTAATTGAAATTTTACAAAATTTTGCTGTAAAATAAAAATATTTTTGTATGAAGTAGGAATGGGCCTTGCCTGCATGAAATAATGAGTATTAGAATTAAATTTCTATTTTAAATAAATATTGACAGTGGAAAATTATCAAACACCAGCTTTATACATTGAAGAAGGATAAAAATAAATCACACATCAATTGAAAAGCATGTTAGAACTTAAGTTGTGTTTTAGAAGTAAAAATAAATTATAATGTTACTAAATTGCAATGTAAATCAGATGACTAACAACAACAAAATATCTTAGAATAAGATAATATTAATACAATCATTTAATATAAAAATCATCTCATAAAATTGCAAGGCCCAATCTATAAACCAATTCTTCACTATAGTATAAAACTTGCAACAACAATCTAGTACACTGTTATAGAAAAATTGATTTGAACAATATATGTTACCAATTACATTTGTGATGATAGATCAAATACTTATTATATAATAATACTAATTTTCTGTATTTGCAAAAACATATAAAATTATACAATAGTAAATATGATAAGTGATGAATTTTTAAATGTCATAGCAGAGAAACGATATCAATTGCTAATAAAGATAAAGTAGTTTTTTAAAAAGCAATTATTCATTAAGTGAAATTATTTAGAATGAATTTATTATTATTATTATTATGAAACTTCAAAAACTAAAATCAATACTATAAAACAGTTGATTTGTTCTATTTTAAAATAAACTTATTTTTTATAAAATATATTTCATACAAGCAAAAAGTTTTAAATTAGCTATGACAATGACTAAAGTTGAGGTAACCAAAGATATATTCATGGAGAAGACATGTAATTATCATACTTTTAAGATTTAAAAAAGAAAACATAAATAAAATTGATAAGCATTTCATTACCAACATTATTTTCTAATAAGATGTAGAAATTGAACTTGTCAGTTTGCATTTATTTGCATATATGTATTTAATATACCAAAAATATCAATAAACAATAAATTAAAAACTAAGATTTAAAAAAAAAAATCTATTTTTTTAACAAATCCAAAATCTTAGCATAAATCTAAAAAGGACCATTGGAAATAAACCAACATAATTTGATTTATTGTATTTAACATAAACAGCTCTTTAAAATAATACATTATCCACAACAAATATTTATTATTTTCTTATCACAGTAGTTATTATTAGTATTTCCATTTATATCCGTGTGATATATATTATTTAAACAATAAAAAAACAACTCTATGCTAAGATTCAACAAACTTGAGGCGCTGTTAAGATTTTATAGGTTGGATTTCGATGCTAAGTTTTTTAGTTACATTTTCTATTTTTTGGTGTAAAATGCCATCTTATAGTAGTTCAAGGACATCTCAAACAGACTAGTGTTTTTTAGAGCAAAACTGCACCAAATAAATGGAGAAAAACTTTTTTATTTTTTATTTTTTATTTTAAGGGTGCAAAATGAGATAATTAAAGATTGAAATAGTTCTGATGAGTAATTATTTAAACATCTTGAATATATATATATATATATATATATATATATATAGATATACGTGTGTAAATTAGTAATTCCTATTAACTTGGATTTAAAGTAATATTGAGTTAACCCCAATTCTTATGATTCTCATATATGTTATTGTAATTTTTTGATCAAAGATTGTCAATTCTATAATTTACAATCTATAATTAAAAAAAAATCAAATCAAATGTTCAAACAACATTTGTCTATTATGTTAAACTAATATAAAGAATGATTCAAAATTATCCTTTTTCTTTGTTGAAGTTGCAACTAGTTATGTTATAATTTTTAAAAAATAATAATAAATAATATTAACGTATTTTAAAATTATTTAGACTTACATCTTCAAGTTGAAATGATGTGTATGTAATATTCAGCAACAAAATATTTGATTGTTGCAATAGTAACTTTCACAATGATCCAAGACAATGCTTGCATGTAATCCAAAAGTATTGCAAAATATATGACACTTTATTGGGTTTAAATTATTGTAATATAGAAGGTTAATACCATGATAATAGCAAATCAAATCCTAATTGTGAAATTCCCAATCTTGCTTTATTGATGCTACCATATAAACAAGGACTTGTTAATATCTCTCTCTCTCTCTCTCTCTCTATATATATATATATATATCCAATTATTCTTATTTAAAAAGTTAACATTTATAGATAGTGTTATTTTGACATTTAATGAATCACTCACAAGTGTTATATATACTAAAACCGTGCGTTAGAAATAATTCCAAAAATGCGAAGGCTTCTGTTGTGACCCCTCTTCTCAACTTCGTTGGATCTTCCCCTACTTTCACTTTCGATTCCACATTATTCTGCCTCCACATGCACAAGACATGCATGTAAATCTGCTAAGAGTTCATCAGAAACCAGGTGAAGTTGTGCACATCACACTGAAACAGTACTTAAAAAATGGTTTCTAGTCCAAATAGAGGTTGGGAACCCTAACCCTAACTTCTCTTGGGTCTTGTTTTCGAAGATGGGAATTTCAGATGCGGTATTGTGTCAGATGCTACGCGAATATCAGTTGTGTGCAAGACCGTCAACGTGACCGCTAAAGTTGCGCGTTTTGGTGATTTTTCAAGCAGTTGCAACAACAGTTGAGACCCACCTCAGAATTCAGGATAAAGAATAAAAAATTGAACTTCTCAGCATGGAAGTAAGATATTGGAAATTTGAGAGTAGTGAAATCCTTCATACCTAGTTCAGAGGAAAATACAATCCTTAACACAAGCTTTCGTCCTGGGGTGTCTCAGATTGAAGCTTCGGCAATCTACCCTCACAACACAATTTTAACCTCTAGTGTAAAGCGACGCAGGTGAGATTTGGGACTTTCCTGGATTGGATCACACCGAAGAGAACGGTCGGAGCTCAGCAATAATTGTCATCCTGTCAAGCTCTTCGGAAACCCTTTCACTATTAAAAAAATATAAAATTTAACCATGAAATCCCATCACCCGAATCCCAACTCTAGATTATAATATTCATTTCTTTCTCGAAAAAGATGGAAATCATTCGAGCCAACGTAATCAAGCAAAGAATTCCCATGCGCTTTCGACTCTCCGAAGCGATGTCGAATACATCCACAGTTGCCTACTCTCCTTGAAAAGTTCAATCTCCGCAACCTCCTGACATAGATCACCGTTTGGTTAAGTATGCAGTGGATCAAGCGACTTCAAATGGATGCAGCTTCGAAATCTATAACAAGTTGTAACCTGGGGATTCAGCTATTATGACGACCACTGTAGCATGTCGGTTCACAGACCACTTGCAACTTGCCACTATTGAACTGAAGATTATATATTGCATCTACAGAGTATTTCGGAGGTCAACGCCACTATCCAATAAAAATTGGATCAAGTGCTGTTACTCTGTTTTAGAGGCATCGTGTAGAATCATTTTCATTGGCAGATCAGATCGAGCACGCTTCCACATTTTTTGTGCTAACTCAGCACTAGAAATCTGAACGTGCTGCATCTGAACTGATGCTGGATTTGAAGGTGTGAAAATAATGTTAGATCCGCTGACGATATCGTATTTTGACAGATAACCTGTTTCGATGAGTCTAAAATCCACCACATGGTATTGTCAAAACCTGGCATTCCCTACAACCGTCAGAGATACAAGAGCCTGCCAATGATTCGGCGACCATCGATATGTGCACTGCGAAGAAGAACCCTTTCACCTTGATAGTTAGCA